AGGATGAACCATGGGGAAGGATGAACCATGGGGAAGGATGAACCATGGGGAAGGATGAACCACCTGGGGGAGGATGAACGACATGGGGAAGGATGAACCATGGGGAAGGATGAACCATGGGGAAGGATGAACCATGGGGAAGGATGAACCATGGGGAAGGATGAACCATGGGGAAGGATGAACCATGGGGAAGGATGAACCATGGGGAAGGATGAACCATGGGGAAGGATGAACCACCGGGGAAGGATGAACCATGGGGAAGGATGAACCATGGGGAAGGATGAACCATGGGGAAGGATGAAACCATGGGGAAGGATGCACCATGGGGAAGGATGAACCATGGGGAAGGATGAACCATGGGGAAGGATGAACCATGGGGAAGGATGAACCATGGGGAAGGATGCACCATGGGGAAGGATGAACCATGGGGGGAGGATGAACCATGGGGAAGGATGAACCATGGGGAAGGATGAACCATGGGGAAGGATGAACCATGGAGAAGGATGCACCATGGGGAAGGATGAACCATGGGGAAGGATGAACCATGGGGAAGGATGAACCATGGGGAAGGATGAACCATGGGGGAGGATGAACCATGGGGAAGGATGAACCATGGGGGAGGATGAACCATGGGGAAGGATGAACCATGGGGAAGGATGCACCATGGGGAAGGATGAACCATGGGGAAGGATGAACCATGGGGAAGGATGAACCATGGAGAAGGATGAACCATGGGGAAGGATGAACCATGGGGAAGGATGCACCATGGGGAAGGATGAACCATGGAGAAGGATGCACCATGGAGAAAGATGAACCATGGAGAAGGATGCACCATGGGGAAGGATGCACCATGGAGAAGGATGCACCATGGAGAAGGATGAACCATGGGGAAGGATGAACCATGGGGAAGGATGAACCATGGAGAAGGATGCACCATGGAGAAGGATGCACCATGGAGAAGGATGCACCATGGGGAAGGATGCACCATGGGGAAGGATGAACCATGGGGGGAGGATGAACCATGGGGAAGGATGAACCATGGGGAAGGATGAACCATGGGGAAGGATGAACCATGGAGAAGGATGCACCATGGAGAAGGATGAACCATGGGGAAGGATGAACCATGGGGAAGGATGAACCATGGGGAAGGATGAACCATGGGGAAGGATGAACCATGGAGAAGGATGCACCATGGAGAAGGATGCACCATGGAGAAGGATGAACCATGGGGAAGGATGAACCATGGGGAAGATGAACCATGGAGAAGGATGAACCATGGGGAAGGATGAACCATGGGGAAGGATGCACCATGGAGAAAGATGAACCATGGGGAAGGATGAACCATGGAGAAGGATGCACCATGGAGAAGGATGAACCATGGGGAAGGATGCACCATGGGGAAGGATGCACCATGGAGAAGGATGCACCATGGAGAAGGATGAACCATGGGGAAGGATGCACCATGGGGAAGGATGAACCATGGGGAAGGATGAACCATGGGGAAGGATGAACCATGGGGAAGGATGCACCATGGGGAAGGATGAACCATGGGGAAGGATGAACCATGGGGAAGGATGCACCATGGGATAGGATGAACCATGGGGAAGGATGAACCATGGGGAAGGATGCACCATGGGGGAAAATGAACCATGGGGAAGGATGAACTATGGGGAAGGATGAACCATGGGGAAGGATGAACCATGGGGAAGGATGAACCATGGGGAAGATGAACCATGGAGAAGGATGAACCATGGGGAAGGATGAACCATGGGGGAGGATGAACCATGGGGGGAAGATGAACCATGGGGGGAGGATGAACCATGGGGGGAGGATGAACCATGGGGAAGGATGAACCATGGGGAAGGATGAACCATGGGGAAGGATGAACCATGGGGAAGGATGAACCATGGGGAAGGATGCACCATGGGGAAGGATGAACCATGGGGAAGGATGAACCATGGGGAAGGATGCACCATGGGGGGAGGATGAACCATGGGGAAGGATGAACCATGGGGAAGGATGAACCATGGGGAAGGATGAACCATGGGGAAGATGAACCATGGAGAAGGATGAACCATGGGGAAGGATGAACCATGTGGGGAAGATGAACCATGGGGGGAAGATGAACCATGGGGGGAAGATGAACCATGGGGGGAGGATGAACCATGGGGGAGGATGAACCATGGTGAAGGATGAACCATGGGGGGAAGATGAACCACGGGGGGAGGATGAACCATGGGGGGAGGATGAACCATGGGGGAGGATGAACCATGGGGGAGGATGAACCATGGGGGGAGGATGAACCATGGGGGAGGATGAACCATGGGGGAAGATGAACCATGGGGGGAGGATGAACCATGGGGGGAAGATGAACCATAGGGGGAGGATGAACCATGGGGGAGGATGAACCATGGGGGAAAGATGAACCATGGGGGGAGGATGAACCATGGGGGGAAGATGAACCATGGGGGAGGATGAACCATGGGGGAGGATGAACCATGGGGGAAGGATGAACCATGGGGGGAGGATGAACCATGGGGGGAAGATGAACCATGGGGGGAAGATGAACCATGGGGGGAGGATGAACCATGGAGGGAAGATGAACCATGGGGGGAGGATGAACCATGGGGGGAGGATGAACCATGGGGGGAGGATGAACCATGGGGGGAAGATGAACCATGGGGGGAAGATGAACCATGGGGGGAGGATGAACCATGGGGGGAAGATGAACCATGGGGGGAGGATGAACCATGGGGAAGGATGAAATATGGGGGAAGGATGAACCATGGGGGAGGATGAACCATGGGGGGAAGATGAACCATGAGGGGAGGATGAACCATGGGGGGAGGATGAACCATGGGGGGAAGATGATCCATGGAGGGAAGATGAACCATGGGGGGAGGATGAACCATGGGGGAAGATGAACCATGGGGGGAGGATGAACCATGGGGAAGGATGAACCATGGGGGGAAGATGAACCATGGGGGGGAGATGAACCATGGGAGGAGGATGAACCATGGGGGGAGGATGAACCATGGGGGGAGGATGAACCATGGGGGGAAGATTAACCATGGGGGGAGGATGAACCATGGGGGGAAGATGAACCATGGGGGGAAGATGAACCATGGGGGGAGGATGAACCATGGGGGGAAGATGAACCATGGGGGGAAGATGAACCATGGGGGGAGGATGAACCATGGGGGGAGGATGAACCATGGGGGGAGGATGAAAAATGGGGGGAAGATGAACCATGGGGGAGGATGAACCATGGGGGGAGGATGAACCATGGGGGAAAGATGAACCATGGGGGGAGGATGAACCATGGGGGAAGATGAACCATGGGGGAGGATGAACCATGGGGGGAGGATGAACCATGGGGGGAGGATGAAAAATGGGGGGAAGATGAACCATGGGGGGAGGATGAACCATGGGGGGAGGATGAACCATGGGGGGAAGATGAACCATGGGGGAGGATGAACCATGGGGGGAGGATGAACCATGGGGGGAAGATGAACCATGGGGGAGGATGAACCATGGGGGGAGGATGATGAACCATGGGGGGAGGATGAACCATGGGGGAGGATGAACCATGGGGGGAGGATGAACCATGGGGGGAGGATGAACCATGGGGGGAGGATGAACCATGGGGGGAGGATGAACCATGGGGGGAAGATGAACCATGGGGGGAGGATGAACCATGGGGAAGGATGAACCATGGGGGGAGGATGAACCATGGGGGGAAGATGAACCATGGGGGAGGATGAACCATGGGGAAGGATGAACCATGGGGGGGAAGATGCACCATGGGGAAGGATGAACCATGGGGGCAGGATGAACCATGGGGGGAAGATGAACCATGGGGGGAGGATGAACCATGGGGGGAAGATGAACCATGGGGGGAGGATGAACCATGGGGGGAAGATGAACCATGGGGGGAGGATGAACCATGGGGGGAAGATGAACCATGGGGGGAGGATGAACCATGGGGGGAGGATGAACCATGGGGGAAGATGAACCAGTGGGGGAGGATGAACCATGGGGGGAAGATGAACCATGGGGGGAGGATGAACCATGGGGAGGATGAACCATGGGGGGAAGATGAACCATGGGGGGAGGATGAACCATGGGGGAGGATGAACCATGGGGGGAGGATGAACCATGGGGGGAAGATGAACCATGGGGGGAGGATGAACCATGGGGGAAGATGAACCATGGGGGGAGGATGAACCATGGGGGGAAGATGAACCATGGGGGGAAGATGAACCATGGGGAAGGATGAACCATGGGATCAGGATGAACCATGGGGGGAAGATGAACCATGGGGGGAGGATGAACCAAGGGGGGAGGATGAACCATGGGGGCAGGATGAACCATGGGGGGAAGATGAACCATGGGGGGAGGATGAACCATGGGGGGAAGATGAACCATGGGGGCAGGATGAACCATGGGGGGAAGATGAACCATGGGGGGAGGATGAACCAAGGGGGGAGGATGAACCATGGGGGGAGGATGAACCATGGGGGGAAGATGAACCATGGGGGGAGGATGAACTATGAGGGGAGGATGAACCATGGGGGGAAGATGCACCATGGGGAAGGATGAACCATGGGGAAGGATGAACCATGGGGTGAAGATGCACCATGGAGATGGATGCACCATGGGGAAGGATGAACCATGGGGGGGGGGGAATAATTAACAAGGACCATGGGGTCACGCCAGAGTTAAGTTGACTCACACACCAGGAAGTGTTGGTGGCCGCTCGACCACACCTCCAACACCACACTTTAGTTCAGTTCAAATTCCAGTGTCAAAAATCCTCAAGAAGAGTGGTGGATGGAAGGTACCTCTGACCAGCAGTCGGCTTCTTGTCCCGGTGGAGGCCACTGGAGGCATAGTGGCCCTCAGGTAAGTATGTACTCTATGGCAGGAATACTTTATAGTTACATTGTAGTCCCAAAACTTTCTCTCGCGCCTTTGAAACATATTGAAATATTGTGCAGGTATGTGTGTCATGACCCGGGGCTGGCTCCGCCTGACGAGTACTGCTTGGTCTACTCCGTGGGCGTCGGCCATGACCTGTCATTTGACCTGCAGATGGACAGATTTGGCTGTGAGGTGTTTGCCTTTGACAGTGATTTCTACCATAGACACTACCCAACCTTCATCGGCTCCAGGTTAGAGTACAGCGCTCTGTAATCCTTGGAGCGGGGCAGCAACATAATGTTATATGTGCCTATAATATTGTTATATTGTGCCAGTAAACAGGAATGTGAGCCAACATCTATGTTTTGAGGACCACGATTCGAAAATGCAGTCATATATATGAAGTTACAAAAAACTTGAGATCAGTTACAAAGATTTATTAAACATGTAATGTGAATTGAGTGACTTCCAGTATTGAATGACCTTGAGTGAGGCAGTTCAGTGTGCTTGTGTGTGTGGCAGTTCATTGTGCTTGTGTGTGTGGCAGTTCATTGTGCTTGTGTGTGTGGCAGTTCATTGTGCTTGTGTGTGTGGCAGTTCTGTGTGCTTGTGTGTGTGGCAGTTCTGTGTGCTTGTGTGTGTGGCAGTTCGGTGTGCTTGTGTGTGTGGCAGTTCAGTGTGCTTGTGTGTGTGGCAGTTCTGTGTGCTTGTGTGTGTGGCAGTTCAGTGTGCTTGTGTGTGTGGCAGTTCAGTGTGCTTGTGTGTGTGGCAGTTCATTGTGATTGTATGTGTGGCAGTTCATTGTGCTTGTGTGTGTGGCAGTTCATTGTGCTTGTGTGTGTGGCAGTTCATTGTGCTTGTGTGTGTGGCAGTTCATTGTGCTTGTGTGTGTGGCAGTTCATTGTGCTTGTGTGTGTGGCAGTTCATTGTGCTTGTGTGTGTGGCAGTTCATTGTGCTTGTGTGTGTGGCAGTTCATTGTGCTTGTGTGTGTGGCAGTTCATTGTGCTTGTGTGTGCGGCAGTTCAGTGTGCTTGTGTGTGTGGGGCAGTTCAGAGTGCTTGTGTGTGTGGCAGTTCATTGTGCTTGTATGTGTGGCAGTTCATTGTGCTTGTGTGTGTGTGGCAGTTCATTGTGCTTGTGTGTGTGGCAGTTCATTGTGCTTGTGTGTGTGGCAGTTCATTGTGCTTGTGTGTGTGGCAGTTCATTGTGCTTGTGTGTGTGGCAGTTCAGTGTGCTTGTGTGTGTGGCAGTTCATTGTGCTTGTGTGTGTGGCAGTTCATTGTGCTTGTGTGTGTGGCAGTTCATTGTGCTTGTGTGTGTGGCAGTTCAGTGTGCTTGTGTGTGTGGCAGTTCATTGTGCTTGTGTGTGGGGCAGTTCAGAGTGATTGTGTGTGTGGGGCAGATCAGAGTGCTTGAGTGTGTGTGGCAGTTCAGTGTGCTTGTGTGTGTGTGGCAGTTCATTGTGCTTGTGTGTGTGGCAGTTCATTGTGCTTGTGTGCGTGGCAGTTCATTGTGCTTGTGTGTGTGGCAGTTCAGTGTGCTTGTGTGTGTGTTACATCGGTCGATGTTGTTGTAGAATGATTAGGTTGTGGGCAGGAATTGGAGTACCAAACGTCCACTGCTTTTTCTTAGTTTTATTATAAGTATATATAGAAGGGAGTACCACCTCTAGCTGGAAGAAGGGGGACCCATAGCCTCGGAGGAAACCACGCATAACGCATTAGAGGGAATGTTTAGATCCCCTCCAATACAGTTTCTGTGTGCTTTTCTCCTACCACCCCCTTCCTTGAATATTTTTGTGCTTTATTATGCATTTGATGGTTACAAGATATACATGGGTTGATACAAAAATAATAATGCAAAAAGGTGCTTAAAGGTTATGGATCTCTTGAAGAACACAACAATGGGTATATAGTATATATATATACTATATATATATATATACAACAGTATATATATATATATATATATATATATATATATATATATATATATATATATATATATATATATATATATATATATATATATATATATATATATATATATATATATATATATATCCTATCTTCTACACGGGCCACGAACTAGCTTGTAGCGTGTGTAAGAGAGCACGTGTAGACGCTCTGATGCCCGGGCTGTGTCTGAGGTCTGAGGTCTGCAGCAGAGTAGATTGCATTCAAATCTGCTGACACGTTGTTGATACTTATTAAGTTGTTTAGCTTAAGAGGGTATTATGTCACCCTATGTGTATGGCCATGGGCGACTAACTGGCGTCCAACACCGCTCGGCACGCTATCATCGGCGTCCTCGGCGATCTGCTTGAAAAATTTCACAACCCTTGGGCGTGTACCTAACTAACATTATATACAGTGATTTACCTATAGTGGCCGTAAACAAGCAAGTTTTGAGACGTCCAACACCGTCTCGGACATGCATGAATAATGAGTACAATAACGAGTACAATGCTTAAATATAATCCTTAAACTAAGCTATCCATGGAGCATCATGACTAACTAGCTAAATGTCTGCACAACTGGAGGCAGGAGGTCCGGCTGCAGGTATAGGCGGTAGTTGAAGAGTCAGCGGACCAGAAGTTGCGCGTAAGAATTCATGATGCTCAGCCACAGTGTTACCTGTTAAGTAGATTATAAACGGCAGACACTAATGTAGGCACAATATATTACATGGCAATACATAGAATAAGCGACATTTCCACTAAAATATGTAGAGCATGAACGTGGCAGGAACACGAGGACCTACATAGTGTATAGAGACACGACAATAAACTACGAATAAAGATAGCTGAGATGGAAGGGTCCATATACATTGAACCGAAGGGTGCGAAACGATTGTTGCAATCACTCTTAAATCTAGTCATAAAACTATGAATTCTCAGGTGCTAATTCATCACGAACGTAGTCTCCCTCTGCCATGTATGAACAGGCAGGGAGAGGGGAGCAGATAGAACGCATCAATTGTCCCTTACAGACTGGAACACCACAGTCACACGAAGATGAATCATCAGACTGTTGGTGGTGTACTGTCGAAATAACAGGTCTGGACCGAAGATTGTGTGTGAGTACGTGGTGGGGTAGTATCGCTGGGCGTATCCGAGGCCAAAGTGGGTGTCACAGTGGTAGGGCCACACGGTACGTTGTCAGGGACAGGAGTCGGGGTGTCATCGTCAACAGTCAGACGGGCTAATTTCATGTGGTTGAGATGCTCATGTACTTGTTCTCCAGTGGCCAGGTTTTCCAGCTTATACTTATTATCTGTGATATGCTCAAGAACTCTGTAAGGACCAAGAAACTTCTCAGTCAGTTTGTACATGGGACCATCTCGTCGCTGGTAGAGGATCATTACTAAAGATCCAGGTCCTATTCTCGTAGGTTTAGCATGAGCGTTTTGTAACCGCGTGAAATCATCAGTAGCTTTAGAGAGATGTTCCTTGACCCTCTGGAACACCAGTTGAGTGTCTCTCCGTTTTACCTTAACATAGTCGTCATAGTTGTAGAGTGGCGCGGGCGGCGCGGAGATGATGGCGTTAGGAAATCTCATGTCTGTCCCAAATAGCACAAAGTGAGGTGTGTCTCCTATGGAGGAGTTGAGAGAGGAGTTTATCGAACATTGGACGATTGGCATAAGTTCATCCCATTTGTGACTGTCCCGATTGACTGTCACTCTGAGTGCGTCAAGGACCTTCTTGTTAGTTCTTTCAGCAAGGCCATTGCTAGCCGGTTGATAAGGCATTATATTACACTTTTTGATGTTGTACAATGTAGCCAGTTGTTCCAGAACAGAATTGTTGAATTCCGGGCCGTTGTCAGAGAGTATAACTCTGGGTGGACCATACCTGCAAATTATATGATCATGAAAGGCACTAGCCATAGTTTCTGCAGTCTTGTTTGGAATTGGAACCAGTTCACAGTATCTAGAAAAGTTATCTACCATAACTAGGAGATGTTTATTTCCTCTGGAAGTTTCAGCAAAATTTGTTAACAAATCCATAGAAACACGATCCCAAGGTGCATTAGTCGTAGGGTAAGTCTGAATCGGGTTCGGGCCAGCAACATGGCCTCTGTGAGCTAGGCCGGTTAGACACTGATCCACGTGACGTTCAATCTGTTTGGCCATTTTGGGCCAGTAGTACGTAAGACGAGCCTGCTTGATGGTGCGGTCGTTGCCAGGATGCACACTGTGTGGGGCGTCATGAACAAGTTTTAACACGGTAGGAACTATCGACGCAGGAATAACAAGTTGATGTACCAGTCTGGCAGGAGATCCAAGCACAACCTTGCGATGGAGCACATGATCTAAGAGTACTAGTTCCTTGAGTGGTACGGGTGGCTTGACCGTAAGGGTCGTGTGCGGGTCCACGAGAAAGCTTATGATCGGTGCCCACATTGGGTCTTGTCGTTGTGCGAGTTCTACATCTCGCAAGTCTAATGAAGGGTATTCAACGTGAACGGGAGCGACGTAACGGGAGAGAGCATCGGCAACTACATTGTGTTTGCCAGGTAAGTATCCAAACGTGGGTAGGAACTCTTGTATGGTGAGCGACCAACGGGCAAACTTGCCTCTGGGATTCTTGTCTCTCAACAAGGGAATGATAGCTTGGTGGTCCATCAGTACATGAACAGGGTAGTTATAGATATCTCTGAAATGTTTGAGTGCCCACACGACAGCCAGGGCTTCGCGCTCGGTTGTCGAATAATTCTTTTCAGCTTTAGAGAGGACTCGGCTCGCATATGCAATGGCATGTTCTTTTCTGTCACTAGTTTGAGCGAGTACGGCTCCTAACCCAATGTTACTGGCGTCAGTAACTAAAATGAACGGTTTGGTGAAGTCTGGGAACTTGAGAACGGGTGAAGATATCAGGGCTTCTTTGAGCGTTTGAAATGCTTTCTCTTGATCAGTTGTCCAAATGAACGGAACGTCTTTCTTAAGGAGATGCAATCACTGAATAACCGGCAATGAAATGGCGGTAGAATCCAGCTAGGCCTACGAACTTTTGTACAGCTTCAGCATTATGAGGGACTGGAAAGTTCTTGACAGCTTCTATCTTTGAATCTAGAGTGGTGATGCCTTGTGAGGTGACGTTATGGCCGAGAAACTGTATTTTTTCTCTCATGAAGGCGCATTTGCGAAGTTTGATTTTCAGATTGGCTTCAGCTAGTTTCTGAAGGACTCGGTCCAAACTTTGGAGATGTGAGGGTACATCCTTGGACATGATAATGAGGTCATCGA